TGAGCAATCCACTCCAGTTTCCATTCAAATACCGTCCTCTACAATTGAACAGGAATTGGGAGGAATTAGCCCTGCGAGGCACAAATGAGCAGAAGAGAGGCTGCATTTCCACTCACGTCGCATTTGAATGCACCAACTCGGAAGAAGCAGCTGCAGGCACCCCGATTGTGAATCGCGAAGGAACGCACAAACACCACCAAACAGTGCCCTCCCACTGAGCACGCGTCATCTCCCTCCTCCTACAAGAGGAAGCTTACCTCGAGTAGGTGTGGTCTTGTGAGCCATCAATTTGCCCAACTACAACAAGACCTAAACAAGTGGGTCACAAATCGTCGTCACCACTTTACCCGGATGAAAGCGATGCACGTTTGCTGATTAAGGGAGGAGTGGAAGGAAGTGGAGGGAGCATTGAGAGGCGCCTTGTTCTCCACTTGCACTGATGCTTCCAGTATAGCAGTTGTGGAGGAATGCAGCAAAGTGCATCGATTGGTGAGAAACGACGTGTCGAGAGTTGCCCGCTGCTGTGACAACCGATTTGCAGCACTTACATACATCACGTGAAGTCCATTGTGGTGGACTACCACAAGTCCGCAATGAACCACGAAATGCATATCATCCGTTTGAGATTACCACCCTTCCTGTGCCAATGTGTTGGGTCGTTTGAGCGTGCAACGGTGGGTTGTGCAGACGACAGACAATCGATAAGCACGCGGTCTTGTAGCATGTCACGAAGTTGCCCTACACTGCGAGCAGTAGACTGCTAGATTGCAGGAGGAAGAGGAGGAAGAAGTAGATGAAGAGCAGTCACAAGACCACACTTCTTCCCTTCCATCCTTCATTTTGTGTGTGAACAAGGTGTTGGATTGAAGAGGGATGAGGAGTCGCAGATTCTCCTTTACCCGCATCCCACATGCCTACCTCTTCAAACAGAATCACTGATGCGCCCTCGATGACCTCCCGATTGACTCTTGGCGACAGCCACTGCAAGTGCGTATGTGCATGCGTGTGAAAGTGAAGTGAGAAGGCGAGTGTCGAGACCACGTCGTCTGTCTCCGTACAGGAGTAGAGGGATGCGAATGCAGTTACGGTGCCCAAGTCCACCGCGTCACCGCACACTCCCTCGCACCCTCAACCAAAATGTTGCGTTGACTTGCGCCACCACTACCCTTTCTACTTTCTCAATCACCAATTTCTTTGCCTAATTTGGAGCCGTTGACTTTGCCAATATTTCCAAAGTCCTTCCTTTTATTTTCCAAGGCAACTGTTAAGCATTGCTTAACTGAACAAATTGAATTACGAAAATCGGTCAAATAGACCACTCCTACGCCTCGTAATTTAATCCCCGATGAAGCAGGCAATACAGTCTACCAAAAAATAATTCCCTTTTCGCTTTCAAGATGAATGGATAGGTGGGTGAATTCATAGTCATTGAGAAAGTTACTGTTTGAGGTAGGGGCTAGATTGCGGATTAAATATGGCATGGATGGACTGAACCTGATCAGACGGCAATGTGGAGTCAATCAAAGCAACTGATAAAGAGTACTTAGCTGGGAGAAAATCCCAAACACACTGCAGATCTATAACCTAACCCAATGATATGCAATTGAAAGGCCGAAACATATCTGAAAAATATGCAATAATTCCAGACTGGAGCAGTGGAGTATGTGACTCATATCACAGAAGGGTGCCCCGCGGTACTGGTTCGAGATTGAATGTAAGCACGAAAGACGTTTTGGTAGGAGCCACCGCATCGTTTTCTCTACTCCCATGCCCTTAAGGCATTGCAGTGAAGGTGTCAACTTCATTAACTACGCAGAATCTACTGGTCGGTAAGCGCTGCTCCATCCGCATCTTTGCAATTCGTTCCTTGGACGGTTCTTGCACCACACAGACGCGGTTCAACCGACACCAACGTTGGCATATATCACAGCAGTAGCGCGCCTGAACGTAGGCAAAAACACCGACACTGAACATGCCAACGAGGACAACAAAAACCTTCAGCCAGAACTGCCAACTGCGTTCCGAACCTGGAGTGTCGGAGGATGTCAGGTTCGAAATTAGAGCATAGAGCGCCCATGCCACACAGGCTTGGA